ACTATTTTATATCGTTGTGGGGACTTTCATTTCGTAAAAATGTGCATGAAGAGATTCGTAGGTCGATCTCACCAGAAGACGGATGAATCCCATTGTACTGCAGGTATTTGGCTTTTATGCGACGTTTTTTATACATAGCAAGAATTTTCGCCAGCATCGTCAGCGAGCCTTGCCACTCTCACTGACGAGTTGTAGTGTGGTGCTAAGCTTGATAAGCCTCACTGACTATGGAGGCGAAACATATTAGAATGTACCAAATCCACGGTCCAATGCTGAAAATTTTTATGGATAGTATGTAAGAAGTCAGGACAATTATTTTTCAAATAACAAACATATCAAGTATGAAGATCTCTATCTACTTGTTGAAGGATACAGCAATACTCAATGAGTATGCCATGAAAATAAGGGAAAACCAAGAACATACTGGACTTTAAGCCTTGACAGGTATGAAGAAAAAGATAGTGTAACATCTATTACAGAAACGAACTCATTTCGTTGGATAAAAGTAATCTAACTTCGTTTTCCCTACTTGGTCAGTGTCAGACACGGTGAAAATGGAGATCAAATACAGCGTGAAGGGGAAAAACCTCAAAAATTAGTTAAATCAAGTGAGATACAATGACTAAGCTCTGATTCACGAATTGCTATTTCAGAAATATACTCGTATTGAAGAGTTCAGCTGAAGTCTCCGCTTTTCTTAATAGGTATAGTAACCTTGTTTTCATGGAACGATACGCCAACAAGGAAACTTCAGGAGAAGTTAGCTAAACGCCTTATTTACTATTGTAATGCTCCTTTCTTTCTGGAAACAAGCCGGTCTGACCAATGAATACTGCTTAGGGGCCCCACCATTGATTTCATGGCATATCACTTAGATTCGCATATAGGAGGTTTTAGAACTACCTCTATATCCGGAAAAGTAGATAATAATGCCTGAGATTCAGAGGAAACGATAGCTCTCGATGGGTTTCGTTGTTGCTTGATGCAAACGAAAGAATTCCGAATTTTAATTGGGCGATTATCATATGTATACGAATGGTAAATCATTCTGATTCCACAAATAAAAAATTAACTATTGGGCTTTAAAGCATAACCAGTCGACTCAAATGATTATTCCGTGAAAATTACTACAAATTATCATACAAGTTAGTGCGATGCAATTCCCAAAGCGAAATATTAACTGAGCAATTGCAAGATAGTTTTTCGAAAATTAACTTGCAGCAGTGAGAAAATTGAGACGTAATAGCAAGAATTTCACTAGATATTATTATGGTCGAGCTTAGTATTGATAAAAAAATCTTAAATGTAAGATGTCCATAGTTTATAACAGGCTAAATATGAAATAAATGCGAAATACTATAGGCAATTTATTATTGTGTAGCTTGGTTTTCCAAAACGCAAATATACAAGCAAATTAGCCCTCTTAGGACTACATAAGAATTGAAACAATTTGTTGATTTAACAATGGTACAATAAGAACCTAAAAAACAGTGGGAACTCATTTACCCAAGTAATATAAATGTGTGTACATATATAAGCCTCAAAGCTAGGGATTGCCGATGCAATAAGTTACGCAAAGGGTAAAGGAAGCAATCAAGAGTTTCCAATGGCGAAAGTGAAATGAAAGTCATGCCAGAGCGAACAAAGCGGTCATGAATGATGCTAATCTTTGAATGTCAAAATTATACTTGCCAAGGTTTAGATATGTATGAATAAGCGATTGATGTAAAAAAAGAAATAAGCGAAAGTTTAGTGTCTACAATGGAAAGCATACAGTGCAAAACAATTAGAATCTGCATGGATGCAAAAATCTATAATGGTGCAAACGAGTTTCTGGCATTTAAATACAATGTAGAATGCCTGGAAGTGAAAATATGGGGAACATGGAAAGGTGCAAGATATCGGTTTACGTATATGGGAAAAGATGAATAGAGAAAATCCTACAAAAATTAAAGGCAAAAACCGAGAACTCAGAGAGAAATAATGCTGTACAGATATACTTACATATAAAAAGCACATAAGAGGCACCATGTGAAATTTCCAATATAAGACTTAAAGACATATTTACGAGTCTGAATATGCAGCAAAAGAACCCTCCATCAACAATAATGAAAATCTTGAAGATAAAGGGAATTAGAAGACAACAAAGCACCTGCCAGCAGAATGTAAATAATATCGCTTTCAAGATAGACTAAAATAATCATATAGGGAGAAAACAAAAAAGGGAAAGAAAGACAGCTGTGCAATTTATTAGCTGGATGAGCCTTAAAGAGGCAAGAAAACCCTAAATGAATATAGCTAATGGAAAATTGTCTAGCAAATTAAAAGCATTGTTTGGCAAATTTAACTATGCAAAGATGTAAATGATGGCTATAAAGATGCTGATCATATGGCTTTAATGCTGCTAGATCAAATGCGAACAAATAAGACAAGCGAGGATGACAGGGGCACAGTGAAGATATACGAGAATAAAAATAAATGTATAAAGGATAAGACAAAAGCCAACAAGGAAAGTATGCAAATAATTTACTGCCCTCAATTACACATACAAATATGCCTTATTCTACGAGAAGTGAAATTTGAAAAAGAATGACGCAAAGTCGGAAAAAGAGGACAGTTGAGAAGAATACGAAGATAAATCATCATGCAGATATCTACAATATAGTTTTATATATGTGAATGAAAGAATTTATAAAAAATTATTGAGGAAACCTTAATCGTAACTAGTTGTAAATTTTTAAGAGCTCGATCAGTCCATATCAAAGATTTAAAGGATATTATTTGAAAGTAGTAAAGCACTCGGCTTTAACAGCGTGTGGTGATTGTACTGATCGCAATGAAAGAAGTATTGGCAAATATCAGCACCGATGCAGTGCAAAGGAAGTAAATTAACAATTAGCTGTGTTATCGTCATCGATGAGCCAACAATGATTCGAGTCGTTTAAAAATTAGTACAAGTCGCAAGTAACTGAATGGCTTATGACAGAGGAAGGTGACATAATTTTACATTTCAATTAGACTCAAGTGGATCGTTCGGAAAGCCTATTTATGAAATATCGACCAAAAGAGGTAAGATACCTAGCAAGATGAGTAAAATTTTCCCTATCTTCATGTAATCAATAAAAATAAATATTGGTCAGATATCCTCTGAAAATTATATAAAGAATATAGCTCACTGAGACAAATTGATCTTTCAGGGATGATGATAAGTGGCAAAGCATCAACATGGAGGATACCACAAGGATAAAAACAAGACAAAGTCATATGAAGAAGCCTTGTTGAAAAACAAACAGTAAGAAATGGGGAAAAACAAGATAGTTGACTGGCTGTATATCTGAGTAAGATAAAATCATATGGAAATCGCTATTAAAATGTACAGAAATATGAAAACATAGATTTAGAAAGACATAAGAGTAGGTATGAAGTGAAGAAATGGGTAAAAAAGATTATCTCACCTAGATATTAGATAATATGATCGTAAGATTAAGTGCTCGAATGCGAGAGGACCACCTAGTTACATAAGAAGACACTATAGCAATAAGTGAAGGAATTAGAAAACTATAAAATTATAGAAAAGCATTAGTAATGTAAGTTCCAGTTGACATTTTAAAAATTTCATGCTGAAATTGACGCGAATATTTTGCATTTAAGGCCCGTTTCCAAAGCGGCAAATAAAGAGACTTGCTTTCGTAGTTTTGTTAAAGCTGGATTGTAGATTAACCGTTTCGGATTTAAGGCCGAGTTAGAGCGCTATAACAAGAGTTCATCCAGATGAGTCCTTACTGAATCAAGTGCTGTATAGACACTGGTCTCAAGGTTGGTACGAATGCGGGGGACATTTGAGCATAGGGCATCAGAGCTGTTCAAAGTCGGAGAAGTACTGGTGTTCTTTCGAAGAAAAACAGCCAGGGCCTCAGCACGAAGACCCAAGTCTTCACAAGCAGTTAAAAGGTTTGCTGCCAATCTGGCTCCACCAGGACGGCGTCCAATCACAAACCGTACTACTGCAAGTTCGACATCTGCTCGACACGACTCGACAGCGTCAGTAAGAATAAATAATGGGTGAGGAAAGAGACATGGTTCTGAAGCCAGACCAGGTTCTAAAGTGCCGCATAAATCTTCCGTAACAGTTTCTGGCGTAATGGGAGTCATGTTTCCGCTGGTAATAAGGCTCATCAGTTTACCGATTCGAACCAAAAGACGCTGTTTTTCGTCTAGCCAAGAAGTACACTCAGTGGAAGCAGAACCGCCACTTTCAGCAGGTGAACAAATATTTGATTTGGAAGTAGTAGAATCGCTAATGCCACTTGGCATTCGAGTTGGAGAGTTATTTGTGACAGTATTCGTTGCGAATGAGACCCTAGAGCTAAGAAAAACAGCAGAGGGCTCTGAACAAGTCGGCTCAATTAGTGAAGTAGGCAGTGAGTTTTCACAATTGGATCTTGTTTCTCCAGCTAATCAATTAAAGGATATAAATAAAAAAGCAAGATAAGTAAAATGAGAAAGCCGATTCACAGATTGTATAGTAGCATAATATAATTACTTATCATAGAACTAAATAAAAGCATGCAAAGCGTGAACTTTCATCGTGTTGTTTAAAAGGAAGCTCGATGATAGGATAGGTGGGTAAGTTATTAAGCTAAAAACGGTGGAACATAATCATGAGCAAGTCAAATGAAGCAAAACAATATATTGAGATAGTAATCTAAGGGAGATGGATAGAACTTAAAGAGAAATAAATTCACATAAGAGAAAAGCTAACTCAGAAATTCCAAAATCAAAACAGACACCAGTTGGTGGAAAGCAAAAGTTTAATAATATGCAAATCAATACGAGTTTCTCATGATATTAAAAGAAGTAAAGATGAGTTTTCCAACAAGAAATAAAAAAATCGTACTGATGCATTAAAATTCACAGCGC